TTGGTCCCCTCACTAAGCTATATTCTTCTCTCAATTTCACCTTTCACTATCTAGTACCTACCACTACTCCCAAGGCTATACAGGGGAGCCCTGCAAACGTAGCTACCTCTCACAATTAAGGGGGCTGCACTCTTTTGTCTTGCAGGACTGTGGGAAACATAGCATGAAAATGAGGGCAGTCCGGCCAGCTCTCGCAAATGCAGCTGTGCTAATGTTTAGCGAGCAAGCCATTCCCCGTGTACCGGTGACATGGCATCTAGGCGCTCTGCCACACGGCATGGACTCTTACCCGTGCTCTCGCGACTGGCTTTCACTTCCAGTCACAGTGCAGTCAAGAAGGGCAGGTGCTACGGCCTCCGGCGGCAGACGCAAGGGCCGCCTGACTCGTGGCAAGAGGCATAGTAGCTTAGACAAGACCTTTGTGAGCCTTATGGTGTCACATCTGCATGGTTATTCTGTTCCGTCGTTAATGGACCTGCACTACAGGCACACTTACGTGGAGCGGCAGCTTCATCCCGTACATTTCGTTTGGGCGGCAGCGTTCAATAGTGAAGACGAAGAAGGTCCACAAGCGCTACCTCTGGATGCGGATGATGAGCATTTTTGTGTGTGCATGGCTTCCGAGAGCGGAGGAGATTGCAGAGAGCGGAGGAGCTTGGCAGCTGGTGGCGGCGCCCTGATCACATTGCCAGTTGAGGTGGCATGCCAAGATGCGAGCACGGGAGCTCAGGAGGAGATGCTACCCTTGGACACCGATGACGAGCACTTTTGTGTCCGTGTTGCTGCCGAGACTGTAGAGTACTGCAGGGGCTTGCAGGCTGGTAGCGGCTGCTCGGGCAGCTCATCGCGGGTGGCCACATCGGAAGGCGATGCGAACACCGACACGCACACAACTCTGCATCCTGTCACGAATGGCGAGGTCTTTTGTCGTGGTCCAGCTTCTTCGAGCAAACCCTTGGACACCGATGACGAGCACTTTTGCGTCCGTGTTGCTTCCCATACCGGAGAATACGGCAGGGGCTTGCAGGCTGGTAGAGGCTGCTTGGGCAGTTCATTGCTGGCGGCCACATCGGAAGGCGATGCGAACACCAACACGCACACATCTCTGCATCCTGGCACAAGCGACAATATCTTTTGCGAGGGTGTTGCTTCTCGCATCAAAGAACAGTATAAAACTACTTTGCTCAGTAGGCGTGGTACTCTCAACGGCTTTGAGGAGGCGACCTTGGCAGACGCTCCTGCAGAAGCTCAGCAAGTGCAAGCTTGTTTGAGGGATGCCCTCCCGGACCACCACTCCTCCCTTCGCGCCAGTTCCCGGGGTGAAGCAGATTCCACCTTCTCAGCTTGTACCAGTGACTTCGGCACCGTCACCACGTCGCCACTGCTTGGCAGCGATTTCCCTGCCTGCTCACCTGCTGCTTCTCCGAGGGAACGGTCACAGGAGAGTCCCCTCGCATGCGAAGATGATGGCCTTGTGCACCGAATGGCAAGGCTAGAAGGAAGTCATGAATTTGGCGGCGAACTTGGTGCTGTCGCCAACCCCTCGCTGCGGGCGCGAGAGCACAAACAAGAGCAATCCCTGGGTTTTCCGGCCTCCGTAGACCAAAGGAAGCCAGCAACAACTGACAGACCTACTCAGTCATCGACACAACCCTCTTCAGGGAGAGGGAGTAATCGTGAAACCTTAGCAGCGCGCCGGAATTGGCCGGTCGGCTCCGAGCCGACAGTGCAGCCTGCAAGTCAAGGAAGGAGTCAGTTGAGAGAGGAGGGTCTCTCGAGTCAGCGCAAAGACGATTGCCAGGGCGATTCCGCAAGAATCGGTGCAAGCGATATCCTGGACGCTTCTTCCCCTGTCGTGCGACAAGGACTGGGGCAGGAAGCATCGCTGAAAGTGGGACACGGAGCGACTCAGGAGCAGTTTCAAGGTTCACCAAAGCCGACCGATCTTCGGAGGTTGGGGATGATGTCTGACTCACCGGCGCAGCTGTCGACGCTGACACAGGACTCCTCGCCAAGAACCGGAGGGTGGTCGTCTTTCAGTGAAAGTTTCCTTGTGGCTGAGTGTTCAGGACTTCGCCACCGAGATGAGGACGAGGGTGACGACGGTGCATCGTCGCCCACGAAACTGAGCGTGGGTATCAACGAAGCATTGTCAACGAATGGATCCTCATCGAGTGGGATGGAGTTGAACCCGGGTACTCACGAGACGGATACTCCGAGTGCGGGGGAAGCATACCGACGAGCGAACTCCGATCAGTTCTCAAAGAGAAGGCAGTTATTGCGGAGACATAGCTGGCAAGTGCAGCTAGCTGGATATGCTATAGTAACGTACTTCATTTTGACATTCTTATAGCTGCAGGTTTTTTTTTTTTTTTTTTTTTTTTTTTTTTTTTTTTTTTTTTTTTTGCGCCTCATATGGGGGACAACTTTTGTATCCTATTTTTTCTTGTCTTGCTTGTCTGCTTGTGCTTTAGTAACTGCACACTTCAAAATATGGACATCAATCATCTTCAGAGAGTGCTTACAAAATCTCATTGTTCAAACCATCATGAAATGAGGAGCACGGTCCGAGCACCTGATGTCTATGAAGCTGCAGATTGCAGTGTTTGCAATGTTGGAGGTTGTAGATTGTCCAGTTTTGTTCCACCGGCGACTCTTGTGCGTCAATTTTTTTTTAACTTATTGCCCTTGTGGCAGGCTTGTACGTATGTGCCGACGACGTTGCCAACAATACGTCGTCGGCTGTACTGTAGCTACTTATGTAACTTAACCACAGACATTGAGGCACATGTCTTGGCTGCCGCCTTCTTCTTGGTTGTTGCTGTTCGATTCTGTCATGTCTCCTTCCCCCCCCTTTCCTCTCCTACCTCCTGTTCCTCCCTCCTCCTCTCCTCCCTCCTTTTCCTCCTCTCTCCCCTCCTTTTTCTCCTTCCTCTCCTCCTCCTCCTCCTCTTCTCCCTCCGTTTCATCCTCCTCTCCTCCCTCCATTTTTCTCCACCTCTCCTCCCTCCCTTCCTCCTCCTCCCCCTATTCCTCCCCTTTCCCCTACTCCCCCTATTCCTCCTTCCCCTCCTCTTTTTCAAAATGCAGTCTGCAGCAGTTGAAACACAGATTTGTCAGACTGTCCAATTTTTGTTCCACATGGCATTTTCCTTTTGTGGATTTTGCCCAAGTTATCATTATTGATTATTGCACATGCGAAAGGACAAGGGATGTGCTAAACGTTTTTTATGGCGTGCAATTAAAATTCAAAGTCCAATTGAAGGTTTGCTTTTCCTCTCGAGCGGAGCGATGGGTTGGTTATAGAACTGAAAAGTCGAAAATGAAGGCCATGTGGCCTAATGGTCAAGGCTCTCCATTTGTCCCGGCGACTGCTATGACCTTATGTTTCTCTTGGCCAACGCTACCAGTGAGCGCACCCTTCGCCATCTTTGCCCAACGAGGCAGCCATTGCTGAAGGAACCAGCTACCGTCTTCAGCAACCCTGGCTGGTGGATTTTCACAAAGGGCCAGCCAGCGAGCAAGGAGCGAGAGCCAGCCGCCGCCCACTGACAAAAAAGCCAGCAGCCAGCAGGTCAGTCTCTCTCTCTCTCTCTCTCTCTCTCTCTCTCTCTCTCTCTCTCTCTCTCTCTCTCTCTCTCTCTCTCTCTCTCTCTCTGATGAGGTGGACGAACAGGAAGGGGGCTGGAGGGGTGGAAGGAATGTCGAGGAGCGGTGACCGAGGAACGGTGACCGGTTACCTCTCCACCAGGAATGTGAGGTGGACGAAGAGGGGATGATGAGGTCGACGAACGGGAAGGAAGATGAGGTGGACGAAGAGGAGAGGAGGGGCGAGGAAGGGGGCTGGAGGGGTGGAAGGAATGTCGAGGAGAGGGAGGATGGATATCGAGGAGGGGGAGGATGGATATCAAGGAGGGGGATGAGTGATGTCGAAGTCAGGTGAACTTTGTTGCCTTTTTGTTATTTGAACTTTGAAGTCATTTCTTTTCGGCGTTAATAGGACGTACTCCGACGTTTTATTTTTTTGGCTGTTCGCAACTTCGCACGTCGGTCTGTTGTAGTCATAATTTTTTCGCTTCTCGTATGTGATGTATCTGTTCATGGAAATCGATCAACCAATCAATCGATCAACCAATCAATCGATCCGTCAATCAATCAAGATCAATGGATTGATATGGTTGATTGATTGATCTTTGATTGATTAATTGATTGATTGATCTTTGATTGATTGATTGATTGGTTGGTTGGTTGGTTGATTGATTGATCCAGTCGTTGACCTCCTGGAGGATACGTTAGGCACTCAGAACTTTTGCTTGGGTGTTCTTGGCTTGAATCTTTGGCGGTGGCATTCTGCAGTCTAACTTTTCAGTTTCATCGAATCTTGGCCTCAAATCTCTGCTTTTGGCACCTTCTCGACCCCGTGATGCCATCTTGCTGTTGAAATTGTCATAGGAAATTTCTGACCGCTGGAGGGGCGACGTCATGCTTCTGGCACCTTCTCGACCCCGGGAGGGGCGATGCCATGCTCTTTGGCATCACGTCTGCTTTTGGTACTCCACCTTCAAGCTTTTTGCTTCAACCTTCCGTGGTCGCAGCTCCTTGACCCCATGGGGCGAGCGGATCGGGTCCAATCATGCCGTTGAAACGGATGAAGAACCGTCAACCATAATCCCGATCCGTCTGTTTTACGCTTCTCTAGATGGTCGTGGATCCATCGGTAGCTCCGAGATCTGTCAGCTGCCCGACGTCTGTCGTGTTTCGTCGAACTATCTAGCGGTTTGCCCGACGTCTGTCGTGTTTCGTATAACTAATTTTATTAACGGGATTGTATCAGTCCAGACTTCCGCTGGGGCTGGCGATATGTTGTTCAAATTTTTGTGGGAAATTAATAATTATCGATGCCGTGGATGGCTGATGTCACGATGCTTGGCTCTTGAGGCCAAGGTCGCCGGTTCGAGTCTGTGCTTGCATGGAGGAGGGCTGAGGCCCAGAGGTACTGATCCAATGACGTTATGCTGTTGAAGCTTTGTTCATTAGTTGATTGATTGGTTGGTTGCTTGATTTTTTTATTTGATTTGATTGATTGATTGATTGATTGATTGATTGATTTTCGTGAACAGATGGAAGGATCGGGAGGGAGAGGATGAGGGTGGGGGAGGCTCTAACAATTGCAGTTGCTTTTGCTGTGTTTGTCTGCCTCTTCAGGATGATGAAAAATCCCAGCGAGTCCGTGAAGCAGCACTTTACGGACTATGCTGAAACAGGAAGGGAGCCAAACCGCAGCACATTCCGTTTCTCCGACTCCAGCCCCGGGCTGGAAAAAAAAAAAAACGAAAAACAAAAGCCATAAGGGGGACGCAAACCTGAGAAGCTTTGCCACTGAAGTGTTGCCAATGCAAGTACTGCAACCTCCCCTCCTTTTTTTTTTTTTTTTTTGTTGTTGTTTTTGTTTTTGTTGTTTTTGTTGTTGGGGGGGGGGGGGGGGGGGGGGGGGGGATGTTTATTGGGTCCCTGAATTCCATCTGCGCTGGGCTGGACTGTCCGGGTCTGGTGATGTCCCGGTTGTCCCGCGGTGTCCGGAGCGGTCCAGACACAGGTCTGGATATCTGTCCAGAGTGTGCCGTGGCTGGGTCTGCAGCTACCATGCTTTGTAATCCTGGTCTCCCCCTTCCTCCTCTCCGTTCTTACACACTTTTTTTTTTTTTTTTTATGTATCACAAATTGTAATTTCCAAATAGTGTCTCTCCGTTTTTGGTATTTGCCATTTGGTGACACTTTTTTTTTTTTTTTTTTTTTTTCCCAGCAGGAAATTTTTTAAACCGCCAGTACACAGCCCCAGCCTTGCTGAAAAAGAAACTCGCCGCCTAGTCCGAAAAGTTCAGGGCCGGCGCGCCGTTGATAAGTTCCATCAATGGCCAGTGTTGCATTTGGGCCTCCGGAAGTCATGGTGAGGCGCCCACGGCCGATGCATGGCCGAGTACTGGTGGATTAAGCACATTTCTTGAGGGTTGCAAGTTGCAACCCGTTCATGCCTTTTCTTTAAAAAAAAATAAAAAAATGATGGTCTGATTGTAATCATTGTATAGTATGTACACTATATGACCTTGTATATAAAGAGCTTTTTGTTTTCTGAAAGGATGCAGAATGTGCCGGATGCAGGATGAAGGTTGCGGACTGGCCCAGGGAAGACCACATAGAAAGGTCTGGACTACCGTAGCGCTGGTGTCTGCAACCGCTGCCCGGTATATTCGAGGTAGGGGCAAGCAAGTGCCCACCGTAGATGCGGGAATAGAGGTTACGCTAAGGAAGGAGAAAGATGAGGTAGGTAGGGGTGGGTCCTGTGAGCGCCACAGAAAAAGAAAAGAATATATCCGAGGTAGGGCCAAACCAGTGGCCCCGTAGATGGGGGAAACTAGAGGTTACGCTGAGGAAGGAGAAAGCCAATTTGTGGAAGCTCACTGTGTCGTCTAAGTCTTTGATTGTTGTCGGACGTGATGCAACGTTGACGACATATAAGTCACGCTGCTGGAATTTCTGTAGAGCGCACGCTGGACCCGTTTTCCAGCAGCAGGTGGAGCTCCCCACTGATAGATGTAGCAGCGACCGGAGGCACCTACTAGCCAGGGCTAGTAGTAGCTACCGGTTTCTACCAAAAAAAAAAAAAAAAAGGCATTGGTGCAGTATGCTCACTGTAGCATACTGTTTCCCTGCCGCTCCCCAAACTCTTTGGAAATTTGGAGTCCTCTCTGCTTTTGAAGTTTTGGTCTGCAGTTCAGTCTGGCAGAGAATTGTGCTTCTCTCTTTTCCTCTCTGTGGCATTCACTGGAAATGCACGTGTGACGTCGTGTACAATATTGTTTTGCAAATTTGCACTACAATAAAGCCTCGTCTCTAGCCCTGTCTCTTATACACATCTAGATGTGTATAAGAGACAGGTGCGTGTGTGTGTGTGTGTGTGTGATGGCGTGTGTGTGTGTGTGATGGCGTTTCTACAGTTTGCTCAGATGCTACTCTCTGGTGGGATCGATCTCAAAACCCGACGGCGTTTTTTCCGGGAGAGTACGATGCGGTTATTCACGACTCCTGGCCCAAGCACAATTACAAATCCCTGTCCGTTCGCACTAGGGTGAGTGCATTTGCTCATTCTAACCCAAGTCTCAGAAACCAAGTCTCATTACCTGACTGAACCAAGTCTCATTACTGGACTGAGGGAGGGATTTCCAAGAGGGTAAACAAAGCCAGCACTCAAGAGACGGCTGCTGCAGCTGCTCAAGCTGCGGTGCCCTTCTTCTTCGTCATTGTCTTCTTTCTTTATGAGCTGAAAACCGGTGTTGGCCTTCTTCGTTCCTTGGTTTCAATCATTTCTGGCAATTCAATCATTTTGGGCAATCTTGGCTAGACCGAGACTGAGGAGGTACTCTCCCTAGGACTTCTTAAGAACTTATGTATGGATGTAATCGTCGGATTTGTTTTTTGAATGGACTTTTTAACCAACCTTGCCACCACTCCAGTGGACACCATATTAACAAACAGCCAAAAAAAAAGAAAAAAAAGAAAAAAACAGGGTGAAACTTTGTCCCAAAAGTGCACGTCCATGAAAATTTTCCTTCTGTGAATTTTCAGAAGTTTCAATTTTCAGAATTTTCAATTTTCAGAATTTTCAATTTTCAGAATTTTCAGAAAAACATTTGGAAGAGTCACCACTGACACTTCCACATGTTCCAAAGACTCCAAACGACACAAAATTTGACATACAGCAACCTTAAACAGTTGAGCTAAAACAAAAACACGCAAAAAAAAATTCAAAAAATACTTAAAAAAAGTTAAAAAAACATATCCAGAAAAACAATTCCAAAAGAATTGGCCAGCAAATCATGCTGTCAGTGTTTTACATGTGCGGTCAGATACATTTAAGATAGAGCTAGTGTGAAAGGCACCGGACTGACACTCTCCACAATGTCGGTCAGATACATTTAAGATATAGAGCTAGTGTGAAAGGAACCGGATTATCACATACAGCAACCTGAGAGGGGGAGGGGGGGGGGGGGGGGGGGGGAACTTGAAAAACTTCAGAAAAGAGGATTCCAAGAAGGGAAAGGGTATCTGAAGTCAATCCTCCAGGACAGAGAGTTGTCAATGCTGTCGACGGGGTCCCATTGGCCTAAACACGGAAGCAAGCATGGGTGTGTCATTTGTTGCATCTTTCTGACTTGCCGGTGGAAAAGGAACCGACTGACACTCCACAGAATGGAAATGGAGCCAGGCCCATAAGGTCTTGTAACTCTTTGTTTCTATTTTTTTTTTTTTTTGATCAAACAAAAAAATGCAAAGGCGTGCTCAGACCAGCGTTCAGTAGTTCTGAGAGCAAGTGGTTGGTTGTCGTTCTGTGGTGGGTGGATGTGTGGGGACCACCACCGTGCATTCTAGGTGGGATGTGGCAGTGAGGAGAGGTGCAGATGGTTATACATCTGCTGGCGACTATACTGGGCCTCGTACGTTTGGCCACACAGGATACACAGGTACAATTCCATACAAACAACAATCATTTACCTCTCCCC